TCACTGTTTCAAATGACTTTGCAATATAGAGATGAGAACAAAGGCTCCAAATCCTGCTTGAAATTCTGAGCATACGTATTGCCAGAAGCCATGCATTAAACATTTTACATCCCCAAATATTTCCACTCACTTCATAAAGACGCTCCCTAATCCATAAAAGTCCATATCAACTTTGTTTGCATTTTCATCTTCAATGACTTCAAAGTCTCCACGGGCAATATGAAAAAGACCTGTGGATGTGTTACGTATTTTATATTGATTGGTCAGGCTTATTTAATTCAATTGCTGCATATCCTTACTTGGAGGGGCAGTGAAAATCGTTTGAGAATCAATGGGCGGAAGCAAGCAAGACAAAAATAATTGACTGTTTTCAAACTCCTGCAGGCGGCTGAATAACTAAGCAAAACAGCTCACAGGGATGTCTGAAATTGGTTTTGTAAAGCCGTCTTTTACACAAACACAAACAAAGCAAATGGCAGGAAAGAAATCCAATTTGACGTTTGTTGTTTCTGCTGCATGCTTTCTGAGCGTTTTGCACAACGGCATGCTAATAGTGCGAGCTTGGACTCTGCCACTGTTTGAATCTGCAATGCTCGCTGATCTGCAGAGGTGGAGCTTCCTGGCAGAGCCGCCTCCCCAGGTGCCTGGAGGTCCACTTCCAATCTATTTGCAGTAATTGCCGTCAGAGTGTACACCTCAGAGTCCTCTAATTCCCTCTTTTATTTCAGTCACCATGAGGGAGACCATCTGTCCTCGGCCTACTCCTCCCCCACTCCAGGGTGTCAGGTCTGTCCCAGTCTGTACAGTCACACAAACACAGTAACATGCCAGCCAGGGTTCAGCGACATCACTCTCCTCAGAGCCACATCACCAGAGCACACCCCGGCGGCGAGCTTTTATAAGGTGCTGCTGAGGAGGACCACATTACAACCGTCGCATCAAAGTTCACTCGCAGAAAAAAAAGGATAAAAGCAACGAAACACTTGCAGACTGCACATTTGCATTAGCCCTGTTTGTCATTAAAGTTTTCATTCTGATTGTGGGGGATTTTTATCCAGCTCTATTCACATTTTTGCACATAAATAAATTACTGGAGAGTAAAGTAGAGACAATAGTCTGTAATAGGAGTGGACTAACAGAGTGTGATGTCACCCTTAGACTTTGGCTTTTACTGGAAGAAGCTGATTAGAACTAACTCTATCACGCTCCATGGGTGGGAATTGGGAGACAAAATTAGCTCATAGCAACCAAAGAGCCAATCAGGATGAAGCCTGTAAGTGCCAAAATAAGGGATAAAAGACAGCTGATTGGTCAGTTACTGTATATCATATTATTCCTCATCTTGATTTACAATAGCATTCTCGCTTCTCAGCAAGAAGGTTCTGGGGTTTGAATAACGGTCGGAAAAGGGCCTTTCTGAGTGGAGTTTGCATGTTCTCCCAGTGTCTGCATAGGTTTCCTCCGGGTGCTCCAGTTTCCCCTACCACTAAAAACATGTACAATAGATCTAGCATGCGCCTCCTGTACTGGCGACCCCGCTCTCTGTGTGGAGTGGGAGACAAATGCCCACAATTGTAACACGCTTTGTGAATGGCGCTATATAAATAAAGATTACTTCATGAGCATATTTATATATGTATGTCTTTACCCGTTTTTACTGCTTTAATTATAACCCTACAGCACATTTTAGATCAAAAGAATAATTCTCTAATCAACGCAGTTGGAGATCTGCAGAGAGGTATTGTAAAAATGTAGAACCCCCTGCAGTTTTAGTTTTGTGTGGTATTGCACATACGGTGGCCTTCTTCCCCTTTAAAAAAGAACACAAGATGGCGCCTCGTACGGTCGACATGGCTCTTTGCTGCTCACTTTTTCTTTTGTTTTTACTTTTTAACTGTGCATCTGGCTGTTCCTACACCCGTGAGGAACTTATGAACATCCGACCCACCGTTCCCATGGACCTATTGCCTGTTTTCTTGGCATCTGCGGCTGATTTAGTTCATGTCCTAGCCAAAAAAGTGTGGGCCCGTAAAAGGGGAAAGCGAGGAGGCCTGCTCGTGCGTCTTAGGAGGAGAGGAGCGCGCACGGCTCTCCCCGGCATTTTTCTCTCCAACGTACGCTCACTGGGCAATAAGATGGACGAACTCAGCCTGCTCATGAGAAGAAACAAGGACTTCGCCACATCCTGTGTCCTCTGCTTCACTGAGACCTGGCTAAATGAGCGGATCCCGGACTGCGCTCTGGAGCTGCAGGGCTTTGGGCTGTTTCGCGCGGATCGCCATTGTGCGCTCTCAGGGAAGAGCAGAGGCGGAGGGCTCTGTTTCTACGTCAATACAAACTGGTGTAACGATGTGACAGTGATCTCCAAGCACTGCTCTCCTGCTCTGGAATATCTTTTCATTCATTGTAAACCATATTACTCCCCGCGGGAAATTGTTTCATTCATTCTTGCCTCTGTTTACATACCGCCATGCGCGGACGCGCGCGAGGCTCAGCGCGCACTCGCAGAGCAAGTACTGTGTATGGAACGCTTATACCCGGACTCTCTGATTATTATCCTGGGGGATTTTAATAAGGGAAACTTGAGCCAGGAATTACCCAAATACAGACAGTTTATCAAATGCCCGACCAGAGAGGAGAACACTTTGGATCACTGTTACACCACCGTGCGCGGAGCTTTTCGCGCTGTTCCCAAGCCAGCCCTCGGCTTCTCAGATCACTCCATGATACATCTGGTTCCTGCTTACAGACAGAGACTAAAGCTCTCGAAACCTGCAATGAGGAGCTCCAAAGTGTGGTCTGATGAAGCTGTGGAAGAGCTGCGCGCATGCATGGAATCTACAGACTGGGACCTTTTCAGAGCTGCCACAGATAGTTTGGATGAATATACGGACACTGTAACGTCATACATCCACTTCTGTGAGGATAGCATCATTCCAACAAGGACCAGGGTCATCTATAACAACGACAAACCCTGGTTCACTGCTAAACTCCGGCAGCTCAGGAAAGCAAAGGAGTCTGCTTTCAGGGAGGGGGACCGCAGCGGCTACAAAGCAGCTAAATATCAGTTCAGGAAAGAACTGAAAGCAGCCAAGTCCCGGCACAGAGAACGACTACAGGAGCAGTTTGGTAACAACGATACTGCTTCTGTCTGGAGGGGCCTACGGGAGATCACCAACTACAAACCCAAAGCCCCCCCCTGTGCTGATGACCACAAGCTAGCTGACGATCTGAACTTATTTTTCAGTCGCTTTGATGCTGCCCCTGACACCTCTCCCTCCCCCACCCCCCACTACTCTAAGACCCACCCATCAGCCCTGCCCCCAGCCTAACAATAGCCGCTAAAGAGATTAAACAACTCTTCCTGAGGCTGCACCCCCGCAAAGCTCCTGGCCCGGACCACGTGTCTCCGGCCACTCTGAGACACTGCGCCAGTGAGCTTACTCCTGTGTTCACGGACATTTTCAACTCCTCTCTGCAGTCCTGCCATGTCCCGGCCTGCTTCAAATCCTCCATCATTGTCCCCGTTCCGAAGAAGCCCAGGATCACAGGACTCAATGACTACAGACCTGTAGCACTTACGTCTGTCGTCATGAAGTCATTTGAACGCCTGGTTCTCTCCCATCTCAAGTCCCTCACCTCCCCCCTCCTGGACCCCCTGCAGTTCGCCTACAGAGCCAACAGATCTGTAGACGACGCCATTAACCTGGCCCTCCACCACATCCTACAGCACCTGGACTCCCCGGGGACCTACGCCAGGGTCCTGTTCGTGGACTTCAGCTCTGCCTTCAACACAATCCTGCCATCCCTGCTCCAGGACAAGCTCTCCCAGCTCAACGTGCCCGATTCCACCTGCAGGTGGATCACTGACTTCCTGACGGACAGGAAGCAGCGAGTGCGTCTGGGGAAGAATGTCTCGGACTCTCGGATTATAAATACAGGAGCCCCACAGGGCTGTGTTCTTTCTCCCCTGCTCTTCTCCCTGTACACCAACCACTGCACCTCCAGCCACGACTCCGTGAAGCTGATCAAGTTCGCGGACGACACCACCCTCATTGGACTCATCTCCAACAACGATGAGTCCGCCTACAGGAGGGAGGTGGACCGGCTGGTGTCCTGGTGCAGTGGTAACAACCTGGAGCTGAACGCCCAGAAGACAGTGGAGATGATTGTGGACTTCAGGAAGAGCACTGTCCCCCCGCCCCCACCCTCCGTGATGGACTCCCCCATCACCTCTGTGGAGTCCTTCCGTTTCCTGGGCACCACCATCACCCAGGACCTCAAGTGGGAGCCGACCATCAGCTCTCTCATCAAGAAGGCCCAGCAGAGGATGTACTTCCTGCGGCAGCTCAGGAAAGCCAAGCTGCCTGCACAGATGTTGGTGCAGTTCTACACGGCCATCATCGAGTCCATCCTCACCTCCTCCATCACCGTGTGGTTCGCTGGAGCCACAGTCAGGGACAAACAGAGACTACAGCGCATTGTGCGCTCTGCAGAGGAAGTGATCGGCCGCAGCCTTCCATCGCTGCAGGACCTGTACGTCGCCCGAGCTCGAGGCCGGGCTGGTCGTATCACAGCCGACCCCTCTCACCCTGCACATGGACTATTCCAACCACTCCCCTCAGGCAGGAGGCTGCGGTCCATCAGGACTAGAACCTCCCGCCACAAGAACAGTTTCTTCCCCTCTGCTGTTGGACTCTTGAACACTTCTTAACCTGTCCCCCCGCCCTTTATAAAGTCACTTTACTGCCCATCATACGTCACTTTACTTCACTGTACTGCTGTCACCTTACATTGTGTGCACCATGTGCACTTGTATATTGTAAATAGTAACTGTAACTCTATTTTAAATTTAAATTTATTCTTTAGAAGTGTTTTTTATTCTTATTTTTATTATCTCTTTTTGACTGTTGCACTGAGCCAAAGCAATTTCCAAGTCTGTGACCTCCCGTTACTTACGTTGGCAATAAAAATGATTCTGATTCTGATTCTGATTCTGATTAAGACCCAGACCATGTTGGTGCTGCCTGCTCCAGCCCACACCCGGCCCCCTGGGAGGGTAAAGCTGTTTGTGTGCACTTACCTCCAGCCTGTTCTCTCCTGAGGTGGTCATGTTGGTAGAGACCAGTCTGGCTTCTCCCACAACACTGTTCTGACCACAGCTGCTGCAGGACGGCTGTGGCACAGGTGCAGGAGTCTGCAAATGCACAGAGGTGATTGCATGTTAATAAAACACCACAATGAGATATTTTCAAGTCTGGGACTGATTTCTAACCGAATGTTTGTCATCATATTGCATTGCTTGAAAAACTGCACTGCTGAGTTAAAGAGAACTTAGTATGTAATAGGTATTTTTTTTAATTTGAAAAATAAAATTCAAAAATCAAGTCTTCCCTCTGGTAGTGGCATAAGGAGGTAGAGGTGGAAAGCGTTTACTCTTCATGCTTGTTTCACCATACAGTTCTACATAAGGCACAAGTAAATAGTCTCATTATAATTTTAATGGACAAAAATAATGTATAACTTTATTAATTGTCTGTTTATTTTGTCCAAAAAACATATCTGCCACCCAGAGCTACATGGTGGTCCTTGGAACATCTTGGGACTTAGGCCCCATTTAGACGGAGACGCTGCAAAGCAATTAGCAAAAAGGACCCGGTTCCTTATTTGAAGGGCACAGCATCTACACCACGACGGAAAACAATGTAGTTCTAGTGCCCGGCCAGTAGTGGCCAGTGGAACTTTATAACATGACACACGCATGACCCCCAGCAGTATAACCACTTCCTCAACGACATCCTCCTCAAGCCACGGCAAAGACGTGAATGAATGGACCAACGTCATTCTGCATCTAACAGCGGCAGTGAAAATGGAAACTGAAACTAGAGCTGTGCGTGGTTTCGTTTGGACGAGTAGAATTCTCCGTGTAGGGCTCAAAGCACGCGTTAGCATTAGTGTGGGGGTCAGAGTAGGCAGATAATTCAAATCTTTTTCTTCACACAGCTGTGAAACAGCCCCCGCCGAACAGCAGATATGTTCTGTTTCATTCTGGAAGCTGTTTCTCAACACTTGCGTTTTCACCCCCCTGAAACACCATCTTCATGCAAAACAAAAGGCCAAACCCATTCCCAACTCCGTTTTACTGTTTTACTGTAGCAGTATCGTTGTGTAAACAACACATTAGATCAGATTAGGGCTGGGCAATAAATCATATTTAGGCAATTTAATCGGCTTTTGAAAAAATTTAAAGTGAAAATTTTAAAATCGTGAAATCGAATGAAGGATATTGTGAGAGTTCCTGCAGCACATGAATCATACTTGCAATATCAGCACAGTCAATAATTCTATAATACGTATTGGGGGAGACAAATAAAAAATAGTTTTGAAACTTTAATTTTGATTGGAAAGATCAAAAAACATTTAAAATCAAAATCGTCCAAAGCAGGAAATAACTTTTTTGCCATATCGTCCAGCCCTAGATCAGATTTGATCTTGTGAGGAGCAAACTTACAAAGCTTGGTATAGTTAAAACATTTAAAAGGCGTGAAAAGCGCCCTGCAACTCTATCAACAACATGTTTCAATATTTTTCATTCCATTTGTTCTTTCCTTTAAAAAACAAAGAGCTATGGACAATATTCCTTCTCTGGAACATCTATCTCATTACATCTGTGCTCTTTGAGTTTGTCTTTGTTTGTGTACGCTTTGGTCTGCAGCTCAGAGTCTGGGGCGCCCCTGATTTAAATACCAGCCCTTCTCATTAACATGCACAGATAGAGCTGCGAGGGCCAATTACATTCATCTTGTCACAAGGCTGGGCTTCCAAGTCGTTAATATTTTATGGCAACGCGCTCCCCTGGCCGCGGCTGCACCACACCAGTGCACTGCATTATTCCACACATCAGAAACATTCACACTCTTCTAGGTCATGACAATGTAAGCATGAAAAATGAGAGGAACCGGTGAAACCAACTGAATACCATTTTTATGATAACTGATTATTGCCAGTGGATGAAAGCCAACAAATGACTGCATGGAAATGTAGGAAATGTAAATCTTTTATTAAGTCCAAACATTTTACAACAATGTGGTCCAAAGGGTTTTGTAAGCCAGACGTTTTATCTTCCAGACAACAGTAATTCTTTCATTATATAATCGAGAAAATGAATAAGACCTTGAACTTACAGTCACTACACCTCCCTATTTCAAACCAATATTATTTATGTTCAACTGGTCTTGTGATATCAGCATATAAACTCAAGCTGCGATTGTACGAATATTAGCAAAAATCAAACATTAAGAACAAAATATAACTTGAAACATTTGACATCCAGGTAAGTAATCAATTTCAAGAAATCTGCCAATGGTTTTTAAAAGAAAAAGAAAAAAGAAAAATATACGTTTTTATTCATTTTCAGTAAAAAAAAAAAAATCTTCATTTAAGAAAAGAAACTTGCATAATGGACATTGCATTCTATTTCTTTAAATGTTTTTCTCAATTACTTTTTTGCAGTATACTTTGGTTTCAGCTTACCAGATATGAACCACTGTATCAGGAGACTGGTTTAGTTAGTATTCCTCAGCACATTATGAACAGCGTACTTTCCTGTGACAGACATAGTGAGATTCCTGGTCCGCTGATGTCTCTCATGAGCGTGCCCAGTCTCCAGAACATTGCTTCGGCTGAGCGCTGCTGCTGTACGGGGCGAGCATGGCCGGAGGAGACAAACTCAACACATTGTGACGGGTGGCGGCCCTCTGGCTCTGCAGCGACGTGCACAAAGATTGATGTGTGTTCCTGTCAAATAGCCCGGGCGGCCATTTATACCGAGAAATGCCGCTCGGCGATGTGAGGGGAAGAGTCACTTAGCAGAACAATTTCCTCACACAGCATGCTCCCCTGGCTTCACGGAGCCGGCACAAATGATATTCACTGAAATGACTGTCACTATGTCTATACATATATAGCACTATATCAATAAACCATAGGAATTTAATGATATACAAAAAACCTGTTTATCTCTCATTAAATACATTCTATATATAATTTGTTGTTAGAAAATATGGTTTCAAAAAGGGTAATGAGTAGTTTTTAACATTTAAAGGAAAACAACACAAATTGATTTATTTCATTTAATATACCATACTGTACGTCACAGTTTAACCCTTTAATGGTTTCCTCAACCATTTGGTGGTTCGCTTTTTGAGTCACTTTGTCTACTTGAAGTTTGGAACTGAAATCTACCTCATTGGGGCGTCTATCACTTGGCACTTTTTCCCATCAAACTGCATCACAACCATTTGCTAAGATTAGGGGTTAAAGATGAAGTCAAAATAGTGCTCCTACATATTACAAATTCTAAAAAGAAAAAATTAAAACAACAACAAACAGGTTAATCAATGTTCCCATTGCACATGTCCCACTGGGGTGAGACCCATTTAACAATTAATATAAAGCGTGCTGACAGAAGAGGTTTCATATAATGTAGTATACAACAAGAAATACATTACAAATACAATTAAATTGAGCCTTAACTTTGTGTTAAAATCCCTTTTTTACAATCTTAACAACAAATTGATTGATTTACTCTCAGATGAATGGCTCCATGTTATAGCAAACACAAGCAGATCTTTCATTTGTCACTTTACACAGAAGGGTAAGTGACTTTGAACGGTGCAACGTCCCAACAGTGCAACATAAGAGCATGTTCTATAATTCTGTGCGTGTGGACGCATAGATGCTGGTAACTTCACCAGACCAGAGGGTCTGTTATAGCTTCAACTGTTGTCTTTGAAATGTGTTCACATTGAAATGCTGTGTATACTTTATCAGCCAAAAATACATAATAAAAGAATAATAAGAGGAAAATCCTGCTAACATTAGTCATGAGTCTTATCTGTTGTCTCGGGCATTCTTCATATCTCATTTCTTCACAGCAGACTTACTACAGCGCTGCTCCACATTTTGCATATCCACTATCTTCCTGCTGACAAATGTTAGTTTTAATAAAGCCACTGAGCACAGATGAGACTGGAGGGAAGCCCACCAGGACGCGGAGACTGGAGCCCAGACAATTTAGCCGGAAATGAAAAAGTTGAATTGTCTGTGGAAAATATCACAATCATCATAATCATTTGTCAAAATGTAATCTCGATGAAACTGGAAAGCTGCTGCGAATAGAGTTCAGTCTTCCTGAACTTTCTTGCTCCACAGTGTTTCATCAACATAAAATGAGAACTTGTTTTATGCTACTAAAATGTCACTGCATGTTAAAAATCTTAAGAAGAAAACTCATTTCTCGAGTTAAACTTTACAGACTTGTTTGACTTGCTGACCAGCTGCCAGTGGCCGTACTGTGTAGCCAAGCAGGTTGCTCTCCACTTTTGCACACCGGGTTGTCTTCTTTTAATTGGCATAATGAAATAATGAGCTGAGTGTGTGGCCCATCTGTGATTCTGCTGCAACAACACAAGCAGCAGTGTCTGAAATCACTCACTCACTCCGGACCGCACTGTAAATAGCTGCACGGAGGAGCCCCCAGCATCGCCAATTATAACCAAGTTAGATGTTATACTGTATTCCATAAGGAGTTTCTTGGTTTACTAGATGGTTAACTAAATGACTACAAACAACAAATCCAAATTAGTTTACTTAATTTTAAGATTTGAATCTAATAAAACCAGCACTATATAATTTGTTGCAAGGAGAAAAAGAAAAATTTAGGCCAACATCATATTCTATCAGCCCTGCTGCTACCAACCATCTCCATCTTAGCCAAAGAGACTGAAAGAAAGTTACTATTTCCACTATTACAAATTTGACAAATGCAACTTTGTCTTCACTTTCAATATACACTTAGCAGAAAAATATGGAAATCCCTGAACAAAACACTGCGGCTTGCCGTTTAGCTGCAACCTCACATTTTCCGTCCTCATGTGGCTAGTTATATTGTTTTCTGTGGACTTCAGAGAAGACTTCTTAAATGTGAAAGCATTGTTCGTGCTCATTCTCCAATACGTGGCAAAGACAATTGTTGTGGCTCAGCTTTAATTGCTCCATCTGTATCATGTCCCATTGGGAAGTCATAAATACAACAAATATGTTCCGGCTAAAGAAGTTTGTGATCTGGGCTTATTCAAGTAAAAGGTAGAGTCAGGGGTGTGCATGCATCTTCTGTTACCTGGTCACAATCGCACAGGTCGGGTACATTTCTTTTAAATAAGCTTTCATTACTGTGCAAAATCTGTGCTTCTCTACTCTGAGCCCATTTGTTTTTGATGCTCTGCACGGAGGCGGTTTCTGCTCTACAACAACAACAACCCTGATCTAAAGAATGAGTTGCTGTTGTGTTGTATAAACTGATAGATGGTCAAATAATGAAGAGAATCAACATTCCAAACAATAAATGAGGTCCTCATTTCAAAGCCAGCAGCAACGTTATACACAGATGTCGGTTTTATCAATGAAGGGGCTCTGATTAGTGCAGAACATCAATGGCTGCGGTGGAAAGATCTTGATTATCACCTTGTTTTGACAGCGTGAATGTATCAGAAAGGCAATTAAAGTGGCATTGGTGTCCACAGCTCGGGTCAGGATGGATGAGCTTTTGATGGTCTTATGCAATATCGACACCATATGGATAGTTATCATATGTATCTTTGCATCAGAAGGTAATGCAAAACCTTTTACATCACAGGGGAAGAATAACTGTTTATTAAGAAAATGTTTCGTACTTTACTTATAGGAACATAATAAGTCTCATTTGGACATTTGACATCATCACCTGATAATGGGGATAATCCTGATGATGTTTTGCTTGTTACTACCATGTTGGGATGAATGTGGAAATACAAAATCTGTAGCTGCCTTCTAATTGGCTGGTTTCACACACACCCAACTTTTTTCTAGGAAAGCAATTCCCAGAGTAAGTGCTGCTTGTCTCCCATGACTTTATTTACAGTGCAAAACCCAGCGTGTGGACATTAGAGCAGCAGATTTATCACTTCAGTCTTATTCATTTGAGGGGAGCTGTAACTCTTACACTCTGTTAGAAATGTATAGAAAAATGTACACTAATGCAGTCGTCAGGATTTCCCCCAAACTAATCTGGATGTCCCCTTTGGCCTGATGGAAAGCAAAGTGCTGAGTAATGTCGGCTGTAATTGGAGAAACAGGTCACTTGGGACATGAGGTGTTTGCAGGTGGACTTAATAGAGGCTTTGTATTTGTTAAGAGCTGAAATGAATCACAGATAATGTTCTTTACGATATGATACATATGAAGAGTTGTTATTATAAACAGGTTATAATGATTTCACACTGACAGATTGAGGTCAGATACTGACAAAGTGTCTGACATCCTCAGGACGTGGGTTACATCTACGTCTCAGATTTAAAATAAGATGAAGCTCAAAGTCTAATAAAACAATATTTAGTGTGAGGGTCCTGTGCGCAAGTTGTGGTTAATTATTATTTCCACAGGAAATCCCCAGGCTCAGGCTTCAGCCCATCTACAACACACACAGCACATACTCAGTATTGAATGCAGCTGCATCTCCCAGAGGGGAAAGGTAATTTGTCCAACTCAGAAATAAGGCTCTCTCCATTGCTCTCTGCAGGATGATGAAAAACATGAAACCGCGCTGCTAATGAAAAGAACACTCAGGATGTGTATTATTATTCCATCAGTCTCACCTCGCAAGCCCTGGCCCTGGTCCACAGTGGCAAGGGCCACGGCCTTCCAGTCTCTACTTTCAGAGCATCTCATGCTGCCACTCGCATTTTCTCTTCATTCATTTCACAAGAATTTGGCTGCCATTTCCTGAGCAGAGGAGAAGGTCTGACTGGCTTCGCACGGGGCCAAGCTGGTATTTATCTAACCACACACTGGGCTTGATTCATGAGAAACAAGCAGGCCCTGTAAACAGTCTCATTACTGAACTCTAACACTTCATTACTCAACAGCCTAAGTCAGTGGCAGAGAGAGCCCAAAATTGTGTAAGCCAGCTCTGAGCACATTTGCCTCAGAACGTCCAGGAGGGGACAGATAGATTTATCTGTGAGGTAATGCGATCGTGTAGGTAGTTACATGGAGGGGCAGGACTTGTGTGTGTTCACACTGGCACACTAACAAACCAAGCCTCCGCAGTAGTATCATGGTAAATATTAGCTAAAAGAAAGTGAAAATTGTTGTAAAGATACCACCAAAAGTGTTTTGACAAATCTCTAATAACTCCATTCCGATTACAATAAGCCAGTTGCTGAATTATGAAAATGATCTATACACAAGAAGTCTCATTGTTGGCTGTGGTGTTTCTTGGTCAAGAGCACTTATTGAAGACCAACCCACCCCTGCAGCAGCTATAACCTCATCTCCTCATTAGCCGTCTGCTTGCAATGTCAACATGACAATTTGCAATACAACAAATCAATGTAATGCAATCTTTTACTTAATTTGATTTAATTGTGAGCAAAACAGACATATTCATTGGCCCTTAACCATGTTAGACTCATCACAGTGGGAATCACAAATGATTTCCTAATATCCTCCGTCATTTAATCTCTTGCATTTGCACAACAGGAATCTAAAAGCGAGTCATTGCCCCTCTAAATCTATTTGTCGCACCTCTCAGGCTGGTGTCGCTCCTCACTGTGGGTCACCTGTAATTTGTAATGTTAAATAAAAGGGCAATTCATTTCCCGCAGAGCTGAACAAGACTAATACTGAAGCCACACTTAGAAATTGATTACAAGTGCAAGACCAAACCCATGCGGTGCGGTGGTCCCAGATATGAAAGACTGAATACATTTTGTCTGTCAAACAAGCAAAGAGAATGGATATGTTTCGATCAAGCTCGTACCTTATCTGACTGAAAATAGATCACAGTATCAACATAGTGAGTAATAGATCAACAGCAAATATTCAATAGATTCTGCTGTATTGCTTTTGCATTGTTCTTCTTGACATTCTTCCAAATCGTCTGTCTCTGTGTTAAATGGGTGAGAGGGGTTAACTATCTTATGTTAACGTCATTATGTTATTATGTTCTGTATAATTGTGTTTTGAAATAAACATCTGGATTGATTGATAGGTTGCAATCATGTTCTGGAATTCAAGGTTAGTTGGAGGGCAGGTACCAATACAACTCTGTGGGATAGAAGCAGATTTTTGAAAGAATTATGAGAAAAAGAAAAAAGCCCCAATGTTTACCCAGATTATTTTTTCATAGTGATTAGATTCACACACTCCCCATATTATTATTATTATCATCATTATTATTATGTCTGAAAGACCTTTCTACTGGCCAACATCAGGGAAATGTTTGAATATTGTCACCCGAAAATAATTAGACTATCGCTCAAAAGTCCATTTCCTTAACAGCAATAATGCGCTGTAATAACTGCACAGTCGTGCAGTAGTTAGCACTTGTGCCTCCAGGCCTTTCTGTGTGGAGTTTGCATGTTCTCCCCGTGCCTGCGTAGGTTTCCTCCGGGTGCACCCCTGCCACTAAATACAAGTACAATAGGTCTGGCATGTGCCTCCTGTATCAAAATATTTTCATGATCATGTTTAAGAGAACATGTTCTGTTATACTCCAGCTTTAAGAAGCAAGTGCTCATGCCGTGGTCCTCCGCTGCAGAGCTGGGTTGCTGTCTGACTGTATTCACCGGAGCCAAACTAATGGTGGTGTCAAGCTATCTCTGCTCATATACACCTCCAGTCCAGAGAGCTCCATTTTTCAGCAGCAAGCAAACGGCTGGCAAACCGCTGTGGAGGGAGGTGCGTGACCTGATGACTTCAGTGGCATTGCTACAGAGAGGAAGACAGAAATTGATTTTGAAAACACAGCCTCTGCTGTAAACGTGAAAAGCATTTCCCACTAGTCTAGTGACCTGCTTTATGTAACACAAGATAAAGGGACAAAAAATGTGGTTCACCTATATCATACACCGTAGTGATATCAAAAAGCAATGGCCGTTCCTTCGTTTATTTTAATTTCCTTTTCCCAGACCTCTCACAAGAATTTTACAATAAATCTGGTAACCTACTTAGCTGGAATAACTTTTATGTTTATGTGAAGTACTCTGGTAGAATTTGGCCCTACATTTATACTGGTGTTTGTGAACGCTCTGGGCTATCCAATGAATACTGCAGTAACTCAAACTACCATGTGCTAATGAAGCATAGAACTTATTATGACAGGTTAATCCGTCCTCATGATCTGAGACAATGGCTGCATTTTGCTTGAAGGGTCTCTGGTCTCCATCTTCTATTTGCAACCAAGAACAGAAGGATATTTTCTGCCCAGTATTTACATAGTCCAAGCCATGAGAAGAAATAAGCAGAGAGATTATTAAAGGTGGTTACTGTACGTGGGGCTGTGGGAAATGCATGCTGGTGTAATGGGAAAAGAAAACCAAATACGCATATATGTATGCATGGATTTAAAACAGATTATCAAGTTATCTGTTTTCATGATAGCACATCTGTAAATGTGTTCTGGTACATTTGATGTAGAGGCCGAGATGTGTTCTTTAATAAGTGCGTAATCTTTATTCATATAACGCATTTCACTGACCAAGGTCACACAAAGTGATTCACAGTAATATACCACACAGTGATGACAGAAGCCAGACACCGAACACTCTGGAGTATCAAAGCCTCCGACATCTATTCACTCTCTCATTACATTCAGTCCTATTTTACATGTTTTAGTGCTAGGGGAAACCGGAGCACCCTGAGAAAACCTACACAGAAATGGAGGTGGAATGGAACCCTGGATCTTCTTGAAGCACAAGCTCTACCCACTGCCCGCTCAGTCATTACTGGAGAGTGGAATGACTGAACATCCACCCATACAACATCTACATTTTTTATATATTAAAAAAACATTGTGGTATTAGTATTTCCAATGTTACGTTTTAATATTTATTATGTTTTTGAAAGTATATTGGATAACTTTATATTAATATGTTTTTATGGGTTTTTTGTGTAAATGTCGTCATATGAATTGAATTTCTATTCTACACACATTCCTGTGCCCTGCCAGCAGGGGGCAGTGTTTGAGTGTTGAGCCTCAGCTTCATTGTCATGTGCAGCCCCCTCCTCTGGACCTGGCTGATTCCCTGACAGCCCTAAATCACATGAATAGACTGTGAGAGAGGCATGTGCATTCCAAAACTTTGGGGCTCTCCTGCTGCACATTTTTAAAGCTTCATGGCACGCATCAGCACAGACTGCAGTGATGAGAGTCTATCACTCACTTACGATTAAGTCTTTGGCACACATTTCAATTACAGCGGTTGTAGAATGTAATGAAAACCGGCTCTCAAGTACACAACCACACACAGTAATGTTCAAAGTATAAGTATTTTAAAAAGAATGGATTAATGCCATACTGATACAAAGAAAACCCATTGCTTTCATGTTATCACGAATTTCATTGCTTTCAACACAAGGGTTAGTGCAGCCAGCAGCTCCATTCAATATTTAATACAAGCCAAAATGTAGAAAATATTATGAAAAAAAAAACAATTCAAGATCATAATAATTCATGAATTCCAAGTTCATAGTTGTTTTGCATGTAGGGAGCGGAGCATTGTACACCACCACAAGGTGGTGCTAGAAGAAGGCGTTTCAATGCTCTGCAAAGCTCAATGGCTTAAATTACTACAGCATTAATTTAGTGTTATCATGTAAAACTCAAACAATGCATCAATCATCCAACATTTGCAGAATTTGTCTAACAAAAAAGCAAACAACAATTCAACCATGTCTTCTTTTAAGCTGTGTATATTTTATAGAGCAGCAAAACAAAGACAGATGAGCAGCCTGGATTCATGCTTTAAGGACAATACCGCTTTGTGCCATTAAAACCCCAGAATGCGGCGCACACAGAACCATACTATGGCTGCGTCCGGTAATGGTGGCAGAGCTGAACAATGCGGGAGGGCGGCTGCCAGCTTTTATGGTCCCCACCCCCACCAGGTCCCTCTTCCTTCCTGCTGTACTGTAGAGACTTACACTTGAGCCACTCCAGAGGCTGTACATGGAACAATGAAACAATGAGCTGTGCCTGTGTGTGCAGAGCAGGACTTGACACTTCTGAGACCAATTCATGATGTCATATGTGGGATGTCGAACAATGTCGTAATTCATTTGACCTGCGATAAAAAGAAGAATCCAGCTTTAATCTGAAATATATTCTTGAGTCTGTATTTGGTTTGTATTTGGAGCAATACAGCTATTGAGAAACTTCTTCTATGAACCAAAGATAGAAGATATATGAATATGAAGAATGTTTTCTATTGAAGGTTTTATCTGTTCGCAACTTTAATAGGTCCCACAAAGAGTGAAGCGTGTTCCTCAGTCTGTAACAAATTCATAGATTAATTGCAACTAATAGATTATTGAAATAGAACATTAGATTGTCAATTGTGGCAGCGTCAATGAATTTGTCTGTAATGTAATTATAGAGCAATGATAGAACATTGTTTTTGACTCAATTTTCAATCTATTTGATGTGTACTCATGGAAAGTAGCAGTGGTGCAAATTAGTCATCTCTTAGACTGTTTTTTTTTTGTTTAATGTTCCTGTTCAATAAAAAGCTAAAGTAACTGAACTAGTTGCTGACTAATTAAATGTTGAACCTTCCATCAACTTAAACATTCTGAGACAAGGTTTAATGACTGCAAAATTAAATTGTGCATTTTTAATCAAACAACTGTGTGTGTAACAAGACATCTCTATGAAGATGTTCTCTGGG